AAGAGTTTTCTTTAAAAATAAATAGTTGGCAGGAGCATGCTGAGACGGGTGCATAGAAAACTCCTGGTTACTTTTGGTCCTGTTACACAGAGACATTTAATGAAATAGAGAAAGCATTCTGACTACTTGTCTAATCCAGTACAGGTATTCTTATGTTAAGTAAAATTTTCTCTATTTGGTAACTGGACTGTTAAAATGATTCATGTAGGTATGTTTCTTTCCATTGCACTTAATTTATACAATACTTGTTTACTGAAAGAGCAGCAGTGTTGCAGATACCTGAAGTGCAAAGGAGCAGAAATCCAGTTTATATTGATCATAACATAATTACATAATTGTCATCAGAAAAAATGAAGAGTACTTCATTTTAAAGCATTGAGAGCAGCTTTTTTCCTACTCGTCTCAGCTTGTACATGTGACTTGTCTTGATCTTAAACTTTAAAAAAAAGCTAATTAGGTGTAGCTCTTAAACATTTTAAGAACAGATACTAAAACTATAAATGTACTCTTCCACCTGAAAAGTAGGATACTTACTACATACACACTACTTGCAAGTTACTTAGAGCTAATAGATTTTTGATAACTTAATCTGTACTAAATAATTATCAGAAAGTAGTTTTAATATTTTTAGAAGATCCTATTCCTCCTGTTCATTCATTTTTTTTGCTCAGAATAGGCTAGGATTTCTTTAGAATGATTCTCAAATCTCTTGGAGTTGAATGTAACAGTATTCTTTGTCCAAGATGAGAGTGGCTTTCAGTACAATAAACATTTCAGAAGTTATCATTGGGTTTTGTGTAGGTTAAATTCTTAATCCTTTTCTAACTACCATTTTTATTAGTATTGAAACCAGAGCCAGCCTTAGTGGTGAACCTAGGGTGCTGTGGTCATGCAAACATGTGTGAGCAAACCATGCGCACAGCAACTCTCTTCCCCTGTCCCAGCCAATCCCCGCTTCTTGCAGGAAGAGCAGTAACTAGCCTGCTCCCTGCCTCCATCTGCTGGGAGCAGCAGGGTACTTGCCTGGCGCACCATACTGCTCTGCTTCTCTGCCGAACTGTGCTGTGTGTCCCTGCCTCTGCCACAGCAGTGCTGCTGACGTGGGGGCAGGGGAAGGAGGAGGGGACACCAAAATAAGAGTTCCCCTAGGGCGCTGTTTTCTCTGAGGCCAGCTCTGATTGAAACCCATAGTTACTACATTTTGAAAGCTGTCTTTATGTTCATTTAGCAATTCTTGTATTCTTTTGGTTTTTAAGCATTGTTGAGCAGACATACACCACAGCAGAATTTGTGAGCCAGGCTATTGACATCAATGAACCAATTGGAAATCTTAAGAAGTTGCTGGAACCAAGACTACAGTGTTCCTTGGATGCACATGAAATCTGCCTACAGGATATTCAGGTAAAGCAAAGAGGGGTTGAAAAACTGCATTTGAGAACTCTGCTTTGAGACCATTTCTGTATATTCAATCCCTTCCTTCTGCTCTGATGTTGGCTTGGAGTATAACATGTTTTATTTGGTAGATAGGTTCCAGTTAAGGGTCTAATCTTGCAAATGTCTGGCTCATTGTCAGCTTGATATTGTTTAATACATGTACTCTGATTACTAATTCACTGCAAATAAAACTGGATGACTTTCAGGGTTTCTGTGGGAATTTTCTGAATGATCAAGCTTAGAGGCGGGGGGGAAGAGGCATAGTTCTGAAAATAAGTACGCTACCTTTCATAATATGCTTAAAATCAAATAGCTTGATTGTTTCCTACAATGCCAGTGTTTCTTTGAGATATCATTTTCAGGCTTCCTGAATCCAGAAGTGAGAAGAGTACTTAAAACAGTTTTGTTTTCTGGTATTTCTAGACGTACTTCTAAAAAATAACAATAATTTCATGACATGTTCTTGTGAAGCTGAAAGTATGATGCATAGTCACGGTTCACTGTGTAGGAAGAATGTATATTGGCATACCTATTGGGTTATTCTCTCCCAAATTATTGCTGCATGTGTAAGTGGAGACACTAATACATGCTGTATTGTACTGACTGAAGGATGGGGGTTCCTGGAGCTAAAAGAGGAAATAATGGACTTTGTTTAGGCTGATGTTTATCTTATGTAGTAGATGAGCATGCGATCACTCTGATCCTTCTTTAGGTAGGCCTCTCTTTAAAATATTTTTGAGTTTGCAAAATAATCACAAGTATGTGGTTTTTCAGGAAAAAAAGTGGAGAAACCGAATAACAGAATCTTACATGGGAAAATATGTGATCTTGCTAGCCTAAGTCCTTAAAATTGAATGTGGGTAGCTTAACAAAAGAACACTCACTGGATATATTTAGTTATATTTCTTAAAAAGGTGTGTTACTTAATGACTTTAGCATAATTAAAAGATCAAATATATTTTATAGAAAAAGCATCAAGCTAGTCAGGGCATGATTGGATATTAACATACAAATTAAAATTTGTATCTACCTGAAGTTGTACGTGATGTTATGATGGTGGGGTAGTAACTGTCAGAAGCTAAGCTTTATTTTTGTGTATTTCAGTTGAGTTGTTCCATGGGAATAGTGCTGACATAGGGAGACCATGAGAGAATAATTCCTGTTATAGAGATTTAACTTTGTATTGTTAATTCAGAACTCAGGGAAAATGTGAAACTTTGTTTACTAAAACTGCAAATTACTTTTCCTGCCCCTCCCCTTTTTTATATTCATTTAGATCTGAGTTTTTTAACCTTGTTAGACTTCATTTTTAAGACCACATTCATTATCCTATTTTTTCCCTTTATGGTGATGTGCAAGTGATGAATAGTTAGAAATGGTGAATGTATTGCAAAATGGTTTTTAAAGGTTTACACAAAAATTTCTGTGCGTTTAAAGTCACAACTAAGAAAGCTAAAAGATGCAACATTAACTGATAATATTGCATTTGGAAGTAGCAAAATGAAAATGTTAGTAAACCTAATAAAATTCTCCACTGTGAATAGTATTTTTGTTTTGCTAATTTAACTTTTCCAAGGCAGATGTACCTAAGGGCAGTCATGAAAGTCTATTGTGTAAAAAGAACATTTCTACTCTTGCTGGGCCCCTTTTAGGATTGTGATGAGAAATGGACGCTATCTTCCCTTTTTAGTCTCTTATTTGATACTGTGATGATGAAAGGAGGAGAAAGAGGAGGCGCCCTATAGAGCCAAAAAAATAATTTGGCACTCTTGTAGTAGAAATGGTTTTTTTGTAATGAATATCATCATGATGTTTCCAGAATTGACTACATTTTACCAACATGTAAAATGGAAGTAGGTGATAAAAAAAAATCAATTTTCCTCTTGCTAGAGAGAGAAAGAAGCAGAAAAAGGTATTTTTATTGACATAAAAGGATTAGAATCCAGTGAAAACAGCTCTGAGCTTGTTCCATGTAACAATTACAAGTGACAAATGAGTGATTGGAGCTTTTAACTCTGATCACTGGATCTTCTGGACATCAGGGCTAGATGCAGGTATTAAAAAAACCTGAGGCGCAATCAAATCTGATTTAGGCAGTTTTGTGTAAGCGACATAGTTTAGATCAGTACGAACAGAACACACATTTGCCCTTTGGTGGTGGACAAATCTTAGACCGGGTTCTGCCATTTTTAAACCAGTCTGTGTGCCAAAATTCTTTTACAGATATAGACCAGCTTTGAGTGCCGAGCCACTTTTCTGGTACAGATATAGACTGGTTTCCAATCACTTATACCAATAAAAATGTAATGTCTGTATCTAGCCCAGGTAGTTAGACTCTGATAAAAATGTCCCTTCCTCCATCTGTCACCGCTCTTGTGTTCCATGCAGTGGCTAGAAGGTGGTATGTTGCTTTGAACTCTGTTGCATTAGAAAAAAACAGTTCTATCATACATTTTTTGATATATGGTTATGACACATGCTTTGTTACAAAAAGGTTAATCTATATAAGAGAAGAGTGTTGTAATGTAACAAAGGGTGTTAGTCCTTGTCAGAGATGCATTCAGAGATTAATCAAAGTTGGTGTGGCAAGATGTAAGATTTCCAGGGTTGTATAGCTAAAGAAGCAAAGGTTGTCTAGGCAACTGTCTTTGATCACTGTCCTGGAGTGAACCGTTAAGTAGCTTTGCTAAAGGAATATTGTAAACTTTAAAAAGAAATCACTTTTGTGTGAAAATATTAAATGTATTGTTGCAGTTACCAGTTTGGATCAGAAAGAAGTATTTTACTTTATTTCCTAGCTGTTTGATAACACATTATTTTTCTGTAGTTTCACTATTTCATCTGTGTGCTGAGGTTTATCAAGAGCATTAGGGAGGGAAAACATACTCCAGAACAAAGGCATTAAAAATTGAGAAACATCCAAGTGCAAGGGTATGATTCCTGGAACCTATTGTGGTCTCATTGGACCTCAGGTTGAAAGAGTCACTTTAAGCATTATTCTTCTACATTGAAGCTCTTTTAATTAGTTGAAGTAACATTTTCAGAGGCGAGTGTAGAGGAATAATTTGTGTCTAAATGGTTGTAAGGAGACCTGTTTATTTATCTAGCTAAAGAGTGCATTATTCATGCAATCTTAATTTTTAAAAAGTTGATTTCTTTAGCTGTATTGTGTGAAAGCCTGGCAAATTTGAAGGTATAGCACTTAACATACAAGAAAACTTTCTGAATGTTTTGTGATGCTAATCATTTTTTTTAAAATCTCCTTATTAAGCTGGACCCAGATCGCAGTCTCTTTGACCAAGGAGTGAAAACAGATGGAACAGTGCAGCTTAGTGTACAAGTAATATCCAGGCAAGGTAAACAATTAAATGTTTTATTTGCTGTAGTCTAGAATAAGCTTTATCATAAATACCTTCATGCAAAAATGCTGTTTTTGAATTGTAATATTTAAAATGTAACTGTATGATTCATGCTACTACAGGATGAATTTTGCATTGTACCATGGGTTTATTTGATTGTAATTAAAATGTATTGTGGCCTGAAGCTACCTCAGCCCAAAATGTGTTACTCTCCTCTAGTGAGGGAACCAGTGGTATGGTAATGGAACTCCTCAGTACCCTGCATGTGAGGACTTTCAGTGAGGATAAGCAGTTGCTCACTGGACAAAATACCTGGGAAGATGAAAGATAATTGCCACCAGCTAGTTTAGGCTGTCTCAGTAAAACACATGTCCTGGACTACCTTATAAATACTTAAATTATGGGGGGTGCTGGCACAAGTAAATACGCACAAAAATTCTGGAGCAAAAAGGTTACGGTCATCATCTGTTTGATAGCTCTTAGGATACCATATTGAAATAAGCCATTGTGACAGTTAACAAGTGTCTGCAATCTGATTTATGTACTCTTTTTTTATGACATCAGTCAAGAAGTTCCCCTGTTAACTCTCCATTTGCCACATCCCTAGCAACTGTCATCTCCAGTCACATTTACAGTGCATATAGTTTTAAATGGCTTCAGCTATTGAAGGGGAATCTGACTACTGGCTTTTGGGACAAGTATGGAAAAATATTAGTTTTCGATTATGCTTTTCCACATAAGTAGTTTCTGTTAGAAAAAGGTCTCTACCATCCCTCCCCACAAATGAAGTCTAGCAAAATCTGGGAGTCGCCCAATTGTAGTAGCTTTGCATCCCATGTGTAGTTTAAATTGATGCTATATTATCCTTTGTAAAAAGGATGTTTCAGCAAGGTTCTCATTGTAGAGGTAATGTTGTGAGTCAAGTTTCTACGAGTTAGAGTTGCAAGATTCTATGCATGCAGAGGTAGGTTACTTTCTGGACATAAAGTACTGTAGTGGGATCCCTCCTTAGTGGGACTTACAAGTGATGCAGACATGTCTGAAGGAATTGGGAAGATGGCTGTTAATTCAGGAGGGACCTACATATAAAGTAAACAAATTATATAGATTTTTATTTTAGAATACTTAAAAGTTAATGTACTGTAAGGGTGTTGGTAGCTTGGAGAAGGATTGAATGCTTGTTTAGGGTCACAGGACTGGTAGGCCTCGTGGGCCATCAAATCCAGTTGGTTGCAATTAGAGGTAAGTGTTAACTAGGACAGCTCTGGAGCCTTCGAAGTCACCACTGCAAACACTTTCCCACAGCTATAAAGAACTGTATTCAAAACACTCTGTAAATATTAGAGCTGTGCAAAGCTTTGGGTGCGGATTTGATTTGGAGGAGATTTGGCCGGATTTGGTGGCCAAATCTCCAAATCCAAATCGAATCAAGGGACCAGTAAAAAGGTTCGAATCGATTTGAAGCTCTCCAAATCTTTGGAAGAGATTCAGAGAGCTTTGATTTGGACAGTCCCTGCTGGCTGCAGCAGGGAGCTGGAGCCAGACTTGGAGCTGGTAAGTGGGGGTTGGGGGTATGGACCATGGGAGGACCCCTGCGAGGCCCCATCCCCTGCCTGCTCCCCAGTCCTCTCAAGTGCCCCCCAACTGCTCTCCCAACCTCCCCAGGCTGCCCTACCTGCCCCAGCTCCCAGTGCTTTAAAAAAAAGCCCTGACTCACTGGGCGGGGCGGGGCGCAATCCCTGCTGTCCTGCACTGCCCCACACTGCATGGGGGGCTGTGCCATGATTCCCCACCCCCGGACCCTCCTGCCTTTTGCTCCCCTGGCACCCCTCATGGTTGCGTCGCCTGAGCCAGCTCCAGTCCTTTAAGAAAAAAAAAACTGAGAAAAACCCTGGGACTCACCGCTCGTGCAGCAGCCTCGGGGCTTCTGGAGGCTTGTGCAGAGCCCGCCACACAGCGGGGGGAAATGGGGGTCACCCCCTGCTGGCAGGAACTGGTTAGTCTGGGGGTTTTTCTTGTTTTTGTTTTCTTTAAAGGGCTGGAGCTGAGGCAGCCGAGGCAGCCATGGGGGGACTGGGGAAGCGAGGGGGGTTGGAGGGCTCGTGCAGAACCCCCCCATGCAGTACCCAGTGAGTTGGGGCTTTTTTTTTTCCAAAGTGCCAGGCACTGGGGCAGGTGGGGCAGCCACTGCCAGGCTGGAAGAGTGGGCGGGGGATGGGCCTGGGTGATTTGGAGATTCGGCTACTGCCCCAATTAGAATCAATTTGGGTCAGTGACTCGAATCAACGGATCGAATCACTGTCCCCCAAATCGGCCAAATGCGGATCCAAAGCAAATACTAGCTGTTTCTCACAGGCCTAGTACAAATGTGACACAAAAGCAGAAACAAAGGATGCTGCCAACACCCTGGCACTGCAAGATTTTGTAGCAGTTTGTAAATATATGTTAAGAAGACCCCAGGAAAAGGACCTTGCACTGTGGTAGAGAGAGGGACAAAAACTTCATGGTTCCTGCCAATTTGACCTGTGGGAAAATTCTTTTTAGACCGCAGATTTGGCTATTGATATGACTCTGAACAGAAGTGCAAGACTTTTAAGCCTGGGCTTTCTAAGTAACCTCTGAGTTTTCTAAGTATTGGTATAAGTATTAAGGCACTCAGTCAAAACCCCAAGTATTAGCAGAAGGCAGCATTCCCCAATGAAGAAGGTAGAAAAAAACCCTCAGAAGCCGGTAGCTTTCATGAAATGGGGAAAAAATTCTTCCTAGCCATACCTGGTTAATAGAAAAAGAATTTAGACCTCGGATTATCAAATACCTTCCACTCTACAAGAGCTACCTTCAGCTCAGAGACTGCAGACACCAGATTGCATATCACATATACTGATGGGTGTCCCAGAACTTCCTATTCTGGCATACCATCCCTTTCATAAACTTATCCAAATTCATCTCTAAGAGACAGGTTCTTCATTCTACTGCTTTGCTGGGGAGACCATTCCAAAACTTCGCTTCTCTGACAGCAGTCTTGTAATTTCCAGTCTAAATTTATCCATAGCCAGTTTATAGCCATTTGATCTTAAGCTAGCGATGGCCTTTTTTAGCCAAAAAAGCTTCTCTTTTTCCCTTCCTTAATGTTTCCCCCACAAATTTACTGGTAAAGAGTCCCCCTCAATCTCTGTTGCTAAACTAAGCAAGCTGCTATAACTTTATACATAAGAAAATGTCTCAGTTCCCTTGACCATATTAGTGATCTTCTCTGAACTCATAAAAACATTTTAAGTTTATTGTCTTTGAACACTGGTACCCAGAGCTGCACATAGAATTTTAAATGGAGTCTTAAAAAGTGCCACATACAGCGGTATTAGAGACTATATTGGCACCATTCCATATGGCATGCCAGTCATACAAATAATTTCCCTACACATGCTTCCTCTGTTATACACCCTAAAATTGCATTAGTCTTTTTCATAGTTTCATTGCGTTGGTTCATGTTCATCCTACAATCAACCAATACACCCAGGTTCCACTTCTATTCCTCAGACATCTCCAGCCTGTGCCTCTCCATCTTATAGCTGAAGTCTTTGTTACTTGTCTTTAGATGCACGCCTTTACACTTCATAGTGCTAAACTTTATGCATTTCTTTTGCTCCATTCCACAAGACTAGCTAAATCTTTCTGTATAATAATCTGGCCCTCCTTTGCATATGCAATACACTTATTTTCCTCCCAAGTTAATGTAATTACAAATTTAATGGAGACACTTCTCTCAGCAACCAAGGTTACTGATCATGTTAACCGGGGCCCAAGCCTGACTTTTGAGGATCGCTACTGGTAACAGCTCTCCACTCATGTAACCCCTTTTCAACATAACCCACCATAGACTCCCTTTGAGCAAATTTTTATTCATCTCGTGAATGTAGCATTGATCCCTTCCTTACTAGCTAGACCAATAATTTCCCACAGGGCATGGTATTATTAGATCTAGAAGACTTAGGTTCACTGCATTATCCTTATCCAAGAAATCAGTGGACATAGGTTGATAATAAATTACTCTGATGTGATTATCCTCTGATTAACCCAGGTTGCGTGTTGTTCCATTTTCCGTTGCCTTTCCTGTCTTAAACTATTTTTTACTTCCATGAGTTCTATGACCTTACCAACTGTTGAAGTCAAATTAACAGGCTTGTAATTGTCTGAATCACTCTTTCTTCCTTTTTAAGAAATAGGTACTGCATTTCCTGTGTTCCAGTCATAGCCATTTTTTGAAGATCCAAGCTAGTGGAATTGGTATTTTGTTTGCCAATTCCTTCAGTGTTCTAGAATGGAGATTATTGGGGCCTCCCTGTTTTGTGACAGCAAAAGCTAACATTTATTCTGTATTCATATCCTCAGTGCCACATGGTAGGCCATCAGTATCCTCTTCATCCTCATAAAGACTAAAGCAAAGTATTTGTTAGTTCTTCAGCCATACAAAAGGTTGATCTCTGCCCCACCATCAGCAAATATTGGCCCCACATTTCCTCCCTATATTTTTTCTTTACTTGTGTGACAAAATAAGTTTTTGATTATTTGTTTTCATATCCTTTGCAAAATCAGCTTCAACTAAGCTTTTGGTTATTTGTTGTTCAACATTCTTTGACCACAGACAGACAGATGTTCTTCCATATTGATCAGTTCCATTTTTTCATTGTTTGTAGATTCTGTGCTCATTCTTAACGGCATGTTTAGATTCCTGTTCATCCATGCAAGTCTAGCTCTTCCTTATCAACTGTACTCCAAGCATGGAGAAACAAGTTGATAGTATTTGTACTTTTGCTGTGTGGTAGTTTTATGTCACTCCACATCCAGGTGTCTTAATTTCTGGATCCACTTAGCCTCCTTAATTGCTTTCATTTCTTAAAATCCAAGACTCTTCTTAAACCAGGGCTGTCCAACTTTTGGGTAGTCAGGGGCTACATGCTGTGTTTGCTTCTTGGCTGCCTTCCTGCATGAGCCACAGA